TTGGTTTTTAAATAGCATATGGAGAGTAAAATACATGACAATATCAGTGTCAAGGATGAGGGAGACTAATTAGAAGAATGCTAAGGCATTTTTTCCCTGTGAAAAAAATTGTTTTATGATAATATATCTTTTACTAAAACAAAAGATGCTGGAATAATTACATGTACAATGCCCATCAAATTAACCTTTATATATACATCACACCTTACAGAAAATTAACTCAAAAGAGATCATGGTATTAAACAAACTATAAAACTAAAATCCTTACATGGTAAGAAACCATGTAAGAAATTGTAATTTTGTTAGCTTGTTTCTCTGTTTTGTATTGCCAGGAGTTGTTTTTATTTTTTTTTTATATGATATATAAAGTACAGTCAAGAAAAAAAAAAACAAATCATGTGATTGATATTAAATCATTTGGTATTCAAAAGTATTCTTTTTAATTTTATAATTGCCTTATATACCTCGGCCTGGGCAAATATCTTAAGTCAAAAGAGTCAAGGAAAGATCCATGAACCATGGATCTTTGCTCACCTCTACCTCTTGAGTGCGGAACTGTAGTTATTAACACTCAAGACCTCAGCCTCTATCCCCAATGCTCACCCTAAGACTTCAGCTTTTCCTATGCTCTCAGCACAGCGTAAAAAAAAAAAAAAAAAAAAAAAGCACATGAACCAAAAGCACATGAACCAGAAGAAATGGAATGAATGATTGAATGATGGTGCCCAGCAAAACCATTGGGAGGAAAGACTTTCTCAGAGAATAAAATCTTCACCTTACTCAACAGACTCTACCACCTTCCTAAGCTCCCATCTGGAATGCCGAAGGGGCAAGCAAGGTTCCTGGGCTGTCTGTTCCAGAGAAGCAGGCCTCTCAGAGAATCCAGTATGGGAAACATAAAAGTGAGCAACAAGAACTGAATTGGAAGAAATAAAGTTCAGATTCTGCTCTTTGTCACGTGGCTTCTATTGTCCTTTTCGTAGTTAAAATACAAAAGCATTTCCAACACAGAAGCAAAACCAAGTCACCTCTGCAGTTGTTATGTATTGATTTTCTAGGAAATGTCAATTCAATTACAATCCCACCTAGACACAGATTCTGCAGGGGGCTAGCAATTTTCCTGCTCACTGGGGCTCACTCACTCCACTAAGTGGACAAAACTTCCTATTTGAGGAACTTTATACAATGTCATATGCAATGACAACTTGACTGAGTCTAGGAGCTAAAAGGGAAGCTGCTGGGCGTGTCTATGACAGACTTTCTTAAGAAGATTATTTCAAGTGGGAAGACCCAAGCTAGATGTAGGCTTGTGTGTTTGTAATTTCAGGATTGACCATTTTGCTTCGTATGACCAAGCTCAAGCAAGGAATGGATACAGAAATTGTGGTACATTTACATAATGGAATAAAACTCAGCAATCAAAAACAAGGAAATCATGACATTTTCAGACAAATAGATGGAACTAGAAAAGATCATCCTGAGTGAGGTATCACAAAAGCAGAAAGACACACATGGTATACACTCACTTCTAAGTGGATATTAAACGTATAATATAGGATAAACATACTAAAAGCTACAGACTAAAAAAGCTAAACAACAAGGAGGACCCTAGGGAGGATGTCTTTTTTTTTTTTTTTTAATTTTAAGCTGTGCTGAGAGCATAGAAAAAGCTGAAGTCTCAGGGTAAGCATTGGGGATAGAGGCTGAGGTCCTGAGTATTAATAACTACAGTTCCACACTCAGGAGGTAGAGGTGAGCAATGCTATGTTGTTTCCAGAACCAGAGGCTTGGAAGTCAGATCACAGAAGTAATACTAACATTCAGATGTCCTTATGATTCTGTGCTTAGGTATCTTTGAGAGTTTCAGGACGGCATCATCAATAGTCAAAGTCCAAAGTTTCTGAAGATTTCAGTTTATAAATCCGTAGTGTGTGTTATTGTGAGGATACCAGACAGCTGAGAGACTCATCTCTGATAACGGGGGGGGGGGGGGGCGCTGTCTGTTTATTTCAGCACAGAGCTGTTGGGCGCATGGCTCCTCCTTCACTCTCCCTAGACTCCCATAGGAGAGCTGCAATCCGTAGCATTCCCTAAGCTTTCAACTTGTTATCATGACATGTGTGTCCCTGAGACTTCATACTCTGGTAGGACAGTGTTTCAGGCTCGGCCAGAAGAACGGTCTGGGTGAACACGAACCACAGACACAAACTGTGAGTGTCCCGATGTTCCAAGCGAGATAAGTGTTAAAATGAGGTGTTGAAACACATCGTTTTCTCTGCTCCAGTCACAAACAATCTCAGTTTATCACAATTCTTACTATAAGCTTTGATGGCTGTATATTAATTTTTCTTAACTCTAAATATTTGAATAAAAAGATTTAACAGACATTCTCTTGTCTAGTGTGCCAACTAGTCTAAAATATAAACGTTTTTTTCCTGAAATTCAATTTGCAATCTAAATTTCAGGATAAAAGATAGCAAATTGAAGTAACTCAACCATGTAAGTCAAATTAACTTAAAATTTAAATCTTAGTTCCCCCCAAAATCTCACAGTAAACAAAGGATCACTGTACATGCATAATGAAGTACAGGATTAAGACAGACACTTCGTTAATTCAAGCTAAAAATCTCCCTTCCTGCAACTTTAATGAATATTTTAGAGGAAAGCACTAAAGTCTAACTTTATCTGGGAAATTGCCTTGACTGTTGCGAGAAGCTTCTCTGGAGTAAACACTTGCAATATGATTTTTCCTAACAAAGTTTATAATTTACATTTTAGTATTTGTCACAGACTATTAGATTTATAAACTTCAATTTCCAACCTCCTCTTAATTAAGACTGTATTGGATAAAGGGATTAGAAATTGCTTTTAAAGTTAAGGATGTGTTTTCTTCGTAGTTGCAGGTCACAGATGTGACTCTTAAACCACAGAGATGCTTAACCAACATCAATTTAACTTCATATGGATTAATTTTTAAGACAGTTTCTTGTTCCATACCAAGCAGGACTCGAAGCTCCTTTCTCCTCTGCCTCCCAAGTGATGGAAATAAGGCCCAGATGGTTTGGAAGAGGCTAGCCCTTGCGTATTCCTTTCACTCAAATTTCTGTATTTTTACCAACTTTGCAAGCTGAGACTGGCAATGAAAAATCCAAGTTCAGTACTGGCTGCCTCCACTTTTAGAAAGGATTCTACAGCAAGAGGCTAGTCTCCATGCATTTCTCATCTGATTGCGGCAAGGCTTCAGCAGTGCTAGACTAGATGCTTTTAAAGATTTGTTGTATAGGAGTCATGATTGTTTTACAAAAGATCCATTTCAGATGTTCACTGTATCCCTGACAAATCTAAATCCATGTCAATGAGCCAAAGGTTAATTATGCCTTTTAAAGTCTTTTAAGATGGAGAACAGGACTGTGAAGCACATAAAGGTGACTAACTTGGTAAAAAGAATGCGTGCTTGGTCCAAATTTGAAAATACATAGAAGTTTTATTTCATATGCAAATGTTTGCATTTAAAGCCAATTTTGACAGTCTTTCCATGAGTATTTTTATATTACTGTCGATGACAGTATATCTCTGGTATACTTTATCTCTGTCACGAGTTTAAACAAGCTGCAACCTCGTACTGGAAATGGTATTATTATTGATATAAAATACAAAGATAGCTGGAGGTGGGTTGCAGTGACCAACTATGATGATCTCCTATGGACCGTCTTCAAAACTTTTGTTTGTTTGTAATTTGAAGAGCAGAAATCCTGATTTATTTTCCCCAAATAATTTTATCCTCATAAGAAGACACTGCAGTCCTTAGCAAGAATGAAAAAAAAAAACAAAAACAAAAACAAACCCTGAATCAAACAAATTGTACTTCAGAGAGCACAGGAGATGCCGTAAGCAGAAATGAGTACTTGTGTGGTACATTTGTACAGAAAGAGCAGGGTGCAGCTTTCTCATTCTTGGCTTAGGCTACGGAGATGTGCTCACCTCCTTCATTGCTCTACCTGCTCATCTCCTGCCTTCCCTCTTACGCTCCTGATCCTCATTGGTGCCCTGCACTCCTCCTTGCTCCCCAGTCTTTTACTCTTCTTTTCTCTCCTTATCTCCTCTCCTCTCTCTTCATCTCTCCCCTTCTTTCTTCCATAAGTCTCTTAATTCTTCCCCTCCTTCCCTTTTCTTACTTCTCACTCTCTTTTCCTTCTTCTCTCTTCCTCACTACCCTTTTCGCCTTCTTTCCATCACTTTCTCATTTTTTTCTCTCTCCCCTCCAGTCATCTCACTATCTCGTTTTCTTTTTTCTTCCCTTCTTTCCTTTTTTTTCCTATTTCTACCCCTCTCCCCCATTTCCTTCAATTCACAGCTCATCTAATGCTCTTCTGTCCTGGCAGCTCCTTTGACCTAAGCAGATTATTGTAGCTGCATGAAGGACACAGTCCTGACAAACGCAGTTAGCCCAGCCTTTCAAAGAAGAGATTTGTATCCAAATCGGACACTAAGCTTCTCAGCCTTCTGCTTATTTACCTTGTCAGCAGGGTACATGTCTCTGGGTGCTTCACAGACTCCTGGGGATCCCAGTAGAAACAAAAGCCTGTGTCAGTTCCTGCAAATGTGGGAGTCTTTGCCATGAAAAGGAGCAGTTGTTAATAAGGGCCCGTGAGACCTGGGTTTCCTTGGTTTCCATGACAGTTATTAGGTACCGTAGAAATTGAATTGTCTCCCATGATGCTCTTGGGGGGAGTGATGCGTGAGTGACAAAGCAGTGCAGTTATGACTTGCAGTAAAACATCCTTTTGAGAATGTAATAATACTTGGGTTATCTCTCTTACATATTTTCATTTTTTTTTCTTTCAGTGGGTTTGGTTGCTGCTATACAGTGTCTCAAACACTATTTTCTTTCTTTCTTTCTTTTTTAAATTTAGATCCAAGTTTGGCAAAGCAAGGCTATGCACAGTTCTGCAGGTGGGCTTCTCAGGGCAAGTGAAGCCATAAGGCATCCAATCAGGGTTTGGCCACCTGCAGCCCTGCCAATATGCCCCTCCATCAGATTTCTGTAATCCCAGCCCGGGAGACTGCCAGCAATGGGAGAAGTTCAATGGGCAGAAACAAAGAGAAGAACAAGGAAATCGAGGTAAGAGGAGGTTTGATTTGACACAATAAGCCACAGCAGCCACCTCCACTCTTGTCTGTGCAGTATGAGTTGAAGAGCACTTGGCTCCCAGCTCTCATTGTGTGCTAGGGGATTCGGAGAGAATCATTTCGTGTGTGACTAAAGAGCCTATAAAACTTAACGTCTATTTTCTGAATGAAGCAATGAACCAAATTTATAAAGATACTTGCTGCTTGATAGAGGTAAAACTTTTGCCATTATTTGCTGAACTGTACAGTATCCCTTTTCTCATTTGTGTGGCACAACCAGGAGGTCCTGGGTTGGTTACAGGTACTGCTGTTGTTCATTTTTGGAACTGCTGGTGCTAATTTTGTTCAGTGTTCAACTAGAGGGTTTGAAAATAACTTTCTTTATAAAGCAGTGTTCTTCCTGGGCTAAGAAAGCTCTCCCATGTAACACACACTAAATTAGTGCTTAAGGATCCACTGTTCTCCATTCCTTATGCCTTGGGTATGGGATTTTGACTTGGTATCTGTTTATTTGCATTTTATTTGAGAAGAACTTGTTTAAAACTTAACACAGATTATTATATTCATTGTAATACATTTAGGCTGTATTCTGGAGTAGAACTAGCACTATTCCTATAAGGTTAAACTGTTTGAAAAATCTGATGCTGAAAACTTATTTCAAGGGGGTTTTAAAAATAGACTGAGCAGAGTCAAAGACATTGAATGAAATTATTATACATACATTCATGATTGGTGTTAAGGCAGAAGGCTAAGTGGGCAAAGCATGCTCCAAAGCTGTCAGCACTTGGGAGGCTGAGACTAGAAATTTCTGAGTTCAAAGTTAGTCTGGGCTGCAGGAGAAGATATGAGAATTCCAAGGTCTGTAACCCTCTAGGCTGTTTTGAACATATGTTATCTAATTTCCAGATATCATGCACATTTCCTAGTTCCAGGTTTGTAGCAGATATTACTATTATTATTTATAAGTATTATTACTTATAATTTATTAGAATTTGTATTTCTTTAAATATACTTGCTGAGGACAAAGGAAGCAACAAACACACATAAAACAAAAAGTAAATAAAATGGGAGCAAAGCATCGGGAATAAAACAAGCTTGATTATGTCTTCAGATGGAAAGAACATGCACGGCCCCTGCCCACTCAATGTGGCCTGGTTTTAAAGGTGCCATTCACAAGCAGTGACATCATCAGAACTTAGAGCAAACGTCAGGGGTCCTCTGGCTAGTTCATTGTACATGATGCTTTCTGTTTAGCAGCTGCCTTGTCAAATGCAAATCGCGTGTCCCTAAAATTGAACTATCTTTGGTAAAGTAATTTTTCAGTCTAGTATCACTTGGAAATATGACTTCCTAAGAAATGGTAATGTGATTGTAGGATTCCAGTGCTGTTTTCTAAGGTTTGGGGAGTAGAGAACTGGAAGGAGAAGATGGTGATCAATTCCAAAAAATATGACATGTCAAAACCAAGATCTACAAAAATGTTATGTTACTAGTTAGGATCTAAGTTGATGGATAATGTTTGAGGTTAACTGAAGAAAAGTTTCCGTAATGATGTTAAATGGCAATTTTGCTTGGAATTCAGAATGATCAGAAATGAAAAATGTGGAGGCAGGATCATTGTTATGGGTTTATGGACAGCTGGGCTGTGTGTTAAGTTCCAGGCCAACCTAATTACAGAGTCTCAGAAACAGCAGTGTTTCATTTCTTTGACTCCATCAGAAATCTACTGTTGATTTCTCCTTGGTATGAGTTGGAATAGCTAGCATGACTTATATGACTTTTGAGAATCAAAATGTTTTATTTTTCTATGTAATAAATATAAATGTAATTATTCTATCTCACAGTCCCAATATTCATATCCTTTTCCATATCTCACCTTTTCCCAACCTCAATTTGTGATCCCGTGTCTCATTCTAGGACAAAATCACCTTACTATCGTCATTGCCTATAATTGGCATACCTTAATACTGGCTAGATACCAACGTAATAAACAAAGCCAGGAGTCAAAGCAGTGGAAAGAGATTCGCAATGTGCAATCTATAAAAGAAGCGCTATTGGAAATAATTTGTAAAGTGGTATTCTCTAACAAACAGAGAAAGGACTTTCACTGAAGAAAATGATCTACATTCTTACAAAGAAGAACTATCAAATGGAGCAGCAGGCACATCCTGAGCATCTCAGTTTAAAGCTATAACCATGCATTTAAAAATTGGTGGGCACTAGTGCCTCTCCACAGATAATTTTTTTATCATACGTAGAAAATTTTATATTGAGTCACCTAAAAATTAGGTAAAAGTAGCTGATATTTGCTAGTTCATTCTGACTTTCTCTAGACTGCTTTCGCTAAAGCAAGGATAGTTTTTGGATTTAGCGGTCTTTACAGGAACACCTCTACCCCACAAAATTAAAGCACCTGTCCCTAAGTGTGCTAACAGTATTTTTCAATGAGGGTCAGTAAGTATTTTGAAAGGAAACTGGTGATAGAAGAAAATGAAATTTTAAAGAGAGATGTTCCTGAATATTGGAAGGAAAGGCACTTTTTGGTTTTCAATAAAAGCATGTTTAAACTCTCTTCTAAATGGTGAGGCCATGAATTGCTTCATTTGATGAAATAAGACATCTTAAAGGGCCACAAATGCCATTTAAGTTGGGTAATTTAAGCTACTTCCATTCTACACTTTAAAAAGTAAGGTTATTTATTGCTACACAATGATTTCTGCAAGTTCAAGCAATAGCTCCTCTTCACAGAGAGTGACAGGCCTCCCTTGAATATTTCCTGATTGTTGACAATTGAGGAGAATCCTTTGGGATTCCCTGAATGCTTCTATTCATCTTAAAGTTATTCAAAGGATCCATTTGAATATTAGATAACTGATATCATTTCAGATTTAGTGATTTGCTTAAATGTAATTCAACTTAATCCTCCTTCCACAAAATGCTCAATGATTCTAGAATCAATTAATATTTAACTTGATATCAGAAGTTTGGTTTTTCTCTTGTTTTGTTGTTGTTACTGACACTTTTGCTTCATTTTGTGTCAGAAAAGATAAAATAAGTATTGAAATAGGTCATTAACAGTTCAAATTCAGGAGACGTAAGTTGTGAAAACTAATTAAGAGATTGAGTTTTAAAAATTCTAACTTCAACTTCTATAAGGAATCTATGTTTTGATAGGTTTTACATGACATAAAGTTCCAAGTTTTATCAATTTGGTTAATAACACTGGAAATACAAAAGAAAAATAATATATGTCCAGTTTTAGTCAGTGTGTAGATATAGTTATCTTCCTGAAGCAACAGTTCTAGGTTGCTGGGATATTTAAAAGTGAGTGCTATAATTGAACTCAGTAGGTTGTTTTCCAAAAAGAAGAGAAATAGAATTTAAAGCTGGGAGGGTATAGAAGAGGACAGGACGTGGAGAAGGGGAGGGAGATTGAATTTCATGAAAATATATTGTATGAATGTATGGAATTCTCAAAGAACAAATAAAATATAGTTTAAGTAACAAAAATATATATAATAAGCAATACAATTATATACATTAAATAAAAATTATAGTTTATGAAAAGAGCAGTGTCTCATATTGCATTCCAGGCACCTGATATTTTTAATACAACTAAGGTTCTATTAGCACACTCATCATGACTAGCACAGATCCTTCCTTATGAAGTAGATACACACAGATTATAAAAATCACAGATTTAATATATTTAATTTGTGAACTTCACTAATTTACATCTGGACAACCAGATAGATATGTAAAAATTAGTAACAGAATGCATGTGTGTAAACTCCAGAAAATTCTAGAAGGGAAGCCAATGACGTGACTCCCCTGAGCCGCATATGATTAGTAATAAGTGCCTTGCTTTGGAGATAAGTCATTGTTGTTTAATGCCTTTGGGAAACCAAGACCCTGGAGGACCCTAAAAAAGAAGATGCCTTGCTGAAGAGGTACATGTATCCAGATGTAGTTTGCTCCGCTTGATGTTAGAGATTGATGCTTTAAGTTTTCCTTAAAACTGTCTATTAATCTGTTCTTTCTCCTTATACTAAGGTTACTTATGTTTTCTTATTACTACCAATAATATTTTTAGACTTTCATATATGAGTACAATATATTTTCATCATACCCATTTGCCTTTCTCCAACCTCCTCTAGGTATTCCCAACATTCCGTTCTAAATTAATGCTCCCTTTTTTTGTAAATATTATTAATATATAAATAACACAGTAAATATATAATATATTTATGTATTCATATAAATAAATTAAATAAAAATATATGTGTTTATATATGACATATGTATTCTAGTTAGTGTTGACCATATGTATATGTGGATGTACTCCTGGCCACTTGGGCATGGGATCACTGAGGCATGGGCACTCTATCAGGAGGCTTAGTCCTGATGAAAGCTGATTCTTCCTCTCTCAGAAGCCAACTGCCTGCAGCTCTTTTCCTCAGGGCCATGCCTTGTGAACCTTTCCCTTTCTGTGCTGGAATTTTTAGTGCTGTGGATCTGTTCAGGCAACCATATTGTTGAGAGTTTACGGGCACAGCATCCATATCATGTCCAGAATATAGTATTTTGCAGCAGTTCTCCTGGTCCTCTAATTCTTAACATCTTTTTGTGTCCTCTTAAATTTTAATTAACTAACATTATATATCTGGTCTCTACTGTCCCTGTCTCTTACAGGTATATTAGGTTTCATTAGCCCAATGTTTAACTGCAATTTCCTTCTGTATATCTAGAAATTACAATGACTGTATAGACTTTAGTATTCATTGATATGTATCTAAGTTCTAGGTATGTTCTCTTTTACCCACAATTCTCTGGGATTTATAGGCTTATATCTCTTGGACTAGGTGTGTCAGGCATGGATGCTCAGTATGATCACATGAAGCTATTTATACCTGTATCACTGCCTCTTCATATTTATATTACCCTTAGCACAGGAGCTAACAGGGAACTGCTAATTGGTGTCTTGCTAATGTG